GTTAGGCAGAAAGAACTTGCAGGTACTTTGCCAACTAAAATACAACACAGTGCAGTGAAACCAGTTCATTAGTGTCACTTAAGTAAATCTCACCTCAACTCAGTCTACATCAAGTTTGAATTTGCATTATATTTCCTCTTTAGTCTGATTACAGCTTCACTCTTGTCAGCCTTTGAAATCAATAACTTCTACTGTTCTAAAAATTAATTTACACAGTATAGAGGATCCTAGGGGAAATTTAAATGCAAGATTCAGGAAAAACATTCCTTACGACTACAAAACTTTGCAAAGTGCTGACAGGCTGGGTCTGGATTATCAAGCTTTCCAGCACTAAGGAGAGAAGTTGCAGAGCAAAGCTCTTGGTGCCCATTACACAGACTTCAGTGGATTACAGGGAACAGCATAAACAGACCTAAGAGAATGTTTCCAACACAGGATCTCTTACATTCTCCTCTCAAGAAACAGTATCACAATCAACTTGACTCTAGAAACTCTTCTAAAGGACCCAGGCTCAGCAACAAATTGCGGTATTGTCATTTTTGCCAGTTTCCTCATAGTTTACAACTGTTTTGAAAAGCAAAAGCCACATGATTCATAGGCTCTTCCCTCAAAGTCATCATCTTATTCACTTCTTCTCTCTCTCTCTCTCTCTCTCTCTCTCTCTCTCTTCAAACCTTCGATTAATGCACCAAAAGGAGGTTCTTTTGGAATTCAGGAACACTGGAATTCAACTAAAATCACACTGGTACAAACACTCCACCATTCCTTGGAAAGAACACCTATAGAAAGAAATCACACCTCAAAGATATTTTGACTCCTTCCTATTAAATCAAAATTGATTACTAGAGTCAGGTCCAGACACCCAGTCAGCACTGAGGCAGCCACATTCATGTGCAAAGGGAATGACGGATCTTTTCAGAAGGATCACTGGGATGGCCAGGATCATTAGTATGACTAGGATGCTGCAAGATAAACCCAGCTCATTTAGTTAGAACTAAAGAGTTCTTGCTGAACTCTTAAAAAAATGCAGATACACACTTGCTATTCATAATTTTTAAATGAGAATGAAGACAATCTAAGAAATCCATTAATCGCAACTGTTAGTATTTTAACTGTTTCATTTAAAATTTCTTTTCACATCTTTGAACCTTATCTGATACCTGCCATTTATTACCACTCATTTTACAATTCAGATCAGTCCCCACCATAAACCATTTCTAAGTACACTTTGAAAGAATTCCACAGATATATTCTCTACAGAGGAAAGACCAAGTCTTGGAATTTTTCTTCCTAAATGGAAAACCTTGATCAAAATTTTCTGACACAGACCAATCTTCATTGAGTGTCTCTTTTCATACCTAAATTACATTTTCATTCTGGCAGGCTTCCTGCTTCTAATGTATCTGGAGAACTTCTTAACTTCCATGACTGCAGCAAGTTACTCCTCAAAATGTTTCCTGGCCTGATGTTCTTCTTTCCCCCTCATGTAACTTACTGGGGTTGACATTTCTTTCTATTCTCTGTTTGGACACCACATCCACTTTTACACAGTAAGCTTTTCTGTCCTCCCCCAGTTGCACTTCTTTTGCTATTTAACCACTTCTGCTTTTTTTCACTGCTTTCTTATTTACTTTAATGCAGAAAGAGAATATACTCTGTGAGAATCTGCTATGACATCTTTATGCAGTCTCCACACTACCAGCAAACACACCACTCCTTTTTGCTTCTTTCAATTAGCTTCTTCACTTCCATGCAAAGTTTAGCACTACTGTCAAGGTAGTTTGTTTATTTGAAAAACAGACATTGGTTATCCTGTGTTTTATTTCTAATCCTTATATTCTTTGTTTTCTGTCAGCTAAATACAATGAACAGGAGAAAAGAAAAAGAGGAGGAGCACTATGGGAAGAGGCAGGAGGAACAGCACACAAAGGGGAGCAATGGTTAGAAAACAGCTCAAACAAAAAAAAAGCTGAGCTGAAGTTCTCAAGAACTGTTGTTACTGCAGCCTAAACTGGGAAAAAATGAGAAAGTCATAGCAAGACAGAAACAACAGAACAGGACACAGTACCAAGTTGCTCCAGCAGTCCCTCAAAATAAGAGATGTTTTTAAATTATTCCACAGTTTCGAATAGCAGCAGTTTCTTACAGGTTTCTAGATTATTCTTACCCCTTTCCCTAGTGAAATGTCATTTAGTCAAATCTTTGTAGGGAAGTATAGCTCCTCAAGTGTCCATGCAGCTTGATTTTGTTTTCCCAGGTGTTTTTGTGGACATACAGAACAATATATTTCATTAAAACCCTGAGGGTGGTGAAGCACTGGAACAGGTTGTCCTGAGAGGTGGTGGAGGCCCCATCCCTGAAGACATTCAAGGACAGGCTTGATGGGGCTCTGAGCAATCTGATATAGTTAAAAAGGTCCCTGCACTGCAGGCGGTGCTGGACTAGAGGAACTTTAAAGGTCCCATCCAACCCCACACATTCTATGATTCTGTGTTTTAAGTAAAGATCCTCAGAAATTGAGACTGGTCTTCACCGCTGCCAGTACGGGCTTGGCAGAAGGGTTACACTTCAGGGCATTTACACATTTGCTTTTGGTCTCACTGTCAATTTTTATGAGCCCAGTTTAATAGTCTTTCTGATTTCCAATATATCTACATAGCAATTTGAAATTTAAATATCACCAAGTGAATGCATAAGCAATCTGTTCTATAAATAAAAATGTATGTAAAATACCGCAGTTTCTTCTTTCAAGCTGTGAGATAGAAAGGCTTATTTTAAGCCTAGTCAGACAACACATCTGACATCATCAAATTACCACCAGTCCAGGCTTAACTATAATTTCTGAAGATAAACAAGGCTTGAGGATTTTTTTCTTAGATCAAGCTTATCACTCATTGCCAAAGGCACAGACCTCACCCCAGCAGCTGACCTGTCAGCCATCACCTGAGCACAGCAGTGGAGGATGAAAAGGTTCTGAAAGTAATCCCAGATTATTGGCATGCAGTCCCTGGTCCTCCAACTCCCAACATCAAAGTGGTCTGCCCAGCCAATGCTGACAAGTCCATTACAACTGATCTAGAGGATCAGGGGAACTGAAATAGCATTTCAGCATAAATTTTAGCAGGAATTCTTCATCAGGGAGGATGATCTCAGTACTGGCTGAGAATAAGAATCTTCTGGAAGGTGAGAGATTATTTCCATGAGAAAATAGCCTGCAGCCAAACGTACAGACCCCCCTAAGGTTTGCAAGGCATGAATCAGGACTTTCTCCCAAGGGTCACCTGGTTTAGGGATTACCAATATCATAGGTAGACATGCAGAGAAGAAACACTTAAAGCCTTGCCTTCAGCCAAAATTTCCATACCTAAAAATCAACAAAGCTTCATTAAAAGTCCTGAAAAATACAAGGACCTTTTAACAGCAAATAAGATCTACAGACAAAGATAATTTATTCCAGATTATCAGTTCCTTGCAGTTCCTCTCCCTTGTCCACTACTGATTTGAGCCTCTTATCAGAGGGAAATCAGTGGCAGGCAAGGACCTAAAGGTCCAACAAGGTTCTCTGCAGCAGGAGTTACCAAGGAGTGATGTTCAGCCACAACTAAAGCAGAAAAGAGAGGCAAGAAAAAAACCTACATCATCTTACTGACATTCTCTTTATCATAAATGAGAGAATAACTGGGAAAAAAAAAAAATGCACTTTTTACCTGGCTTACTCTGAATGCAAAACATCTTTTAAAACCTTTCATCACCAGCTCAGTCTCATTACTCTGGGTGTTAAAAAAAAAAAAAAAAAACAAAAAAAAAACAACCTCTTTGAAATATTCTTCCCAAGAAACACAAAACAAACACAACAGTTGTCACGTTTTGTTTTCCAGGTGATTTTGTAAAAGCTGCATGGCCCTGCCCTGCAAAAGACACGGCATACCCAGCACTACCATTTCTGGAAAACATCCACAGATACATTTATTCCATTGTCATCCACTAACAAATTTAATAAATCCCACTGAAATTTCTTGCTGAATTAAAAAAGAATTTTTGGAAGAAACCGACAGAAGCTTAAGCCTCCTGGTTAAACACTGCTTAACTCAGCTCCATCATGTTCAGCTTCTACAAGTTCCTTGTTCCAAGTACAGAACCAAGGATTGTGGCTGCTCCCTTAGATTAATTCTGTATCCACGTCATGAATGTTTTGTCAGAAATCACATTTTATCAGAAAACTTGTGGTAGATGCAGTCTGAAGTATTGTACACTCTTCTGAATTTACTTTTCAATCTCAAGCCCTCTCAATCTCTTAATTAATAACACTTATGAAAGCTGTTAGTATTTGAAAATACTACCTTTTTTTTAATCCAGATACAAATTCAGCCCTATGATAATTTTCTTAGTACACAAATAGCTGGGGAGAGACTTTTTACAAGGGCATGTATCTAGTGATAGGTCATGGGGTGATGGTTTTAAATGCAAAGAGGGGAGATTTAGGTTAGACATCAGGAAGAAATTCTTCACCATGAGGGAAGGAAGGCACTGGAACAGGTTACCTAGGGAGGTTGTGGAATCCCCATCTCTGGAGGTGTTCAAGGGCAGGTTGGATGGGGCTTGTTCAGCCTGGTCTGGTGGGAGGTGGCCCTGCCCATGGCAAGAGGGTTGGAAGTAGATGATCTTTAAGGTCCTTTCCAACCCAAACCATTCTGTGATTCTATGATTCTATTTACAGAAGAAACAGAGCATTAAGGCTTAAGGCTGTCAATCTTTGGATGGAAAACATTAAAGGAAATTTTCTTTTAGCTACTACACATCAAGGTCAGGCCACTAATGCTTTAAACTCTTCATTCTGCACACATGACTGCCTATGATCCACGAGCCACCTCACACATACACAGAATTCCCTAACTTCTGTGCTCTCCAGTACTTCTCAAATTAAGTACATTTCAAAACAAAGTCACACAATTTGGCCATAGGACAGAAGACAACACACACATCTTTTTTTAAAACCATACCTTGATCAGAAAGAAAATCCAGCATGGTCTGCAGAAGAAAAGAGAGATGCCTGACACACAGAGCAGGATTCCCCATTCTTCTGGATGCATACACCAGCTCGTGAAGCAAACGCATCTGCACTGCAGCCCAGCCCCTGTGTGTTCCTAGGAAGCAAATCAGACAGGGAGCACTTTTTAAAGTCACATGTCCTCACAAATCAACTGGTTTGGCTTTCTTCATAGACTAAGAAGTAATTTCATGACACTCGCACACATCGCCCAACGGAAGCAGTAATTACAAACTCTGAATCTTGCTCTCAAAACAAAAGAAAAATTAGGATCTTTGAGTTCGTGTGAAGGTTTAAATGTGAAAGCAATTTCTGTTGTCTATGCTTCTCTATCAACTAATACACTAATCATGAGAATTCAGAAACTAACAGCTAACACTTCCCATGAAGTAAAAACAAAACGATACACAAAAACAAGGGCAAGGCAGGGGATTCTGCCCCTCTGCTCTGGTCAGACCCCACTGGGAATACTGTGTACAGTTCTGGGGCCCTCAACACAGGAAGGACATAGAGTTGTTGGAGCAAGTCCAGAGGAGGCCATGAAGATGTTCAGAGGGCTGAAGCAGCTCTGTTCTGGAGACAGGCTGGGAGAGTTGGGGCTGTTCAGCCTGGAGAAGAAAAGGCTCCAGGAAGGGCTTAGAGCACCTTCCAGTGCCTGAAGGGACTCCAGGAAAGCTGAGGAGGGACTTTTTACAAGGGCTTGTGGTGAGAGGACAAGGGGTGATAGACTAAAACCGTAAGAGGGGAGATTGAGGTGAGAGATTAGGAAGAAATTCTTTGCCGTGAGGGTAGTGAGACATTGGAACAGGTTGCCCTGGGAGGGTGTGGAAGTCCCATCCCTGGAAGGATTCAAGGGCAGGTTGGATGGGGCTTGGAGCAACCTGACCTAGCGGGAGGTCTCCCTGGTCATGCAGGGGGGTTGAATCTAGATGATCTTTAAGGTCTCTTTCAACCCAAACCATTCTGTGATTCTATAAAGTTATTTTGGTGTCATGTGAAATCTCTCAAGGAAATCAGTTACAGAAATCCAGCAGAGAGGCCTACACTGCCAATTCTCGCTTTCCCAGAGACACTTACCTTTGCTGAAATCCTTAGGATCCAGTGATAAGCTGTATCCAGGGAGAGTTTCCAGCAGCAGCTTGTAGCAGGCCCTCCAGCCAGGCTCTGGGATGCTGGGAGCAGCGCACTGCATGGCTGCGATCCGCTTGAAAAACGCCGACTTGCGGTGGAAACCAATTCGCTCATACAGCTCAGAAAGGATGCTGTAACGCTGGATCTTCTCTTCTTCTGAAAGCTGACATTTCAGGGAGGGAAGAGAAAAAGATTGGTTGAATCACAGCATATATCCGAGTTTAGAAAAGAAATAAATAAAAAAAAAAAGGGAGTTGAGAAAAACGTAGCAGACATCGCTCCAGAAGGGCAGTAAATGTAAAGCCCATCAGGACAGCTCCTACTGGCAGGAAAACTCAAGCTTCCTTCCATTTCACCAGCCAACAAAAACAGCCAAGGTAAGAGTTCTTTAGCAACTTTATTTGTCAGAGGTACTAACAAGTAAGTAGTCAAAGCAGTTAATAACAGCTCAACAGCCCCACATTTGATGGAAGATACTTAACGTTATATTCACGTGCAAAGTAAGAACACAAAAATATACCACTTCCAAAATCTATTGATTTACCAAGTGAAATATTTTCATTGCTTGAAGATAAAATCTGATTACTAATCTTTACATCTCAGGATATGGAATCAAAGTAACTACTGTCTCAATTTTTATGTTTCTGATATTGCAAATCTCAACACTTTCATTCTGTGATACCATACACGTGCAGACTGACAACTGGCGAGGAAGACAACCGGCTCAAAAAGTTGGGGCTGTTGAGTCTGGAGAAGAGAAGGCTCTGGGGAGACCTTAGAGCACCTTCCAGTGCCTGAAGGAGCTCCAGGAAAGCTGGGGAGGGACTTTTTACAAAGGCATTTAGTGATAGAAGTAATGGTTTCAAACTGAGAGAGGGTAGATTTAGATTAAATATTAAGAAGAAATTCTTTAGCGTGAGGGTGGTGAGACGCTGGCACAGGCTACCCAGAGAAGCTGTGGCTGCTCCATCCCTGGAAGTGTTGGGTCTTGGAGCAATCTGGTCTAGTGGGAGGTGTCCCTGCCCTTGGCAGGGGGTGAGATTCCATGACCTTTAAGGTCCCTTCCCAACGAAACAATTCAATTATTTTATTAATTTAGTGAAAGGTTATGCCCCATTAGGCTTAAAGTTGAAACAAACTCAATGAGAGAAGCACAACATGCTTTTATAGTTTATTTATACATGAGAACAAGTCCCAAATTACCATTCTTTCCCCTCTGCTTTGGATGACAATCTTGCTTTAAAAATCAGACAACCAAGGAGCAAACTGTTACAGAAACTCTGGAAACTACCAGCTACTTCAAGTAACCATGCCAGTAACCAGCAACACTGAGTTCTGAAGGTGGACGATTACTGACACCTAGTGCACAGCATCTGGCATGCACAACCAAAAGCAATATAAAATATTTTAAATTACTCTAAAGCTGCTAACACCTTTTGCAGAGGTGCTTAAAATTACAAACTTCATATGAAAATAGCACTAAAGGAAAGAAACATCATCCCCCCAACTCATCCCTCAAAACTGAAATTATCAATCAGTGGATTCTGTGCACTTAACTTCAGATACTTAAAGCCTTTAAAAGTCAAGAGTAGATGGCAGCCACAGTGTTTAACTTTTATAGATATAGGCCTTATAAATGAAGCTTCAAAACATCTCAATCACTTAAATCCTAATGTAATTAGAAAAAAAATATCCTTTTTCAGAAGTCACTTCTGATTCTGTACACAGGGATATGAGAAACTTCAAAGCATTCTAGAGTCTTCACAAGGCACCACGACCTTATCTGACAATTCCAATCTCAGTACCTCAGGATACAAAGAGACACAGACACATAAGCTAGCAAATAATTTTGGGAAGTTTCAGGCAGTTTTTGAAGCTGGAGGTGCTATAAATATCCTTCAGAATTGATGACACAAGGTTGTTGCAAAAATACTGCCCATCCATATAAAAAAAACAATCCCTGGAACAGGAGATGCAAAAAGGCAACTGTAGCAAGCTGAAAACTTCCAGGAATCAATGCAACCAGAAAGAATGTGAGGCACAAAAAGAAAATACAAAACAATTCCAAACCACTTTATCAGAATACCCAAAAGCTGCTATTCAGAAAGAACACAAGGTGTCAAATTAAGGTTACCTTCTCCAACAGAAAGAAAACTGCTGCACCTTTTTATTTTCCCCTTTTTTCTATTTGTGCCATTTTTTCAAAGTTAGCATGAGATAAAAAATATGGCAGCAGAGTTGAAATGGCCATGAGCATTTGATCACACAGTTAGGAAAGCTTAAAAACTATCAAAAGCTCAAATACATAATACTGCCAATGTTCACAGATGTACAGAAACTGAGTATTTAAGATGAGAAAAGACAAGGTTGTTCTATTTATTGTAGACATCAGTGCTTACTAATAATTGGAACTACTAGCAGAGAAGCAAGAGATTCTCAGTCTTACTTCTATCATACCTGAGTAAGTTCTTAACACTACTTCCTAACTTATTGCTTAATGATCATCAGAAAAGTTACTCAAATATTTTCTGCAGTTGAAGGAACAGGTTTTTCACCACAAAGATTTTTAAAAGTGAGTTTTTCTTCAGCACAAATACTTACATGGTACCACTGAGGGATTCAAAAGGGAAAAGAAGAAAAGAAACCCACACAGATTTCCCAAGTAATTAACTCTGGGAAGTCTGCAGCAGGCATTCCCTGGGCCACTAGTGCAGCACTCAAACACATCTTTCCTGACCTTACAAATTCATAAAAGCTTAAGGCCTACAAAATGGCTGCAAAACAGCCAACACCTGAAGCACAGGTTGCCCAGAGAGGTTGTGGCTGCCCCATCCCTGGAAGTGTTCAAGGCCAGGTTGGATGGGGCTTGGAGCAACCTGGGCTGGTGGGAGGTGTCCCTGCTCAAGCAGGAGGGTTGAAACTAGATGATCGCCAAGGTCCCTTCCAACCAAACCATTCTGTGATTATCTTTTCCATCTGGTTATTTTTCATTTAACTGCTATAACAAACCAAGTTAGCAATTGCACCTGTACAGGCTGTAGTTCACTATACAAGCAACTGAGCCAGTTTTTTTTGAGAAACTTTCTAGAGGGTAGCTTTTTACTTGTTTGTTGTTGTGGGTTTTTTTAGAAAAAAACTTACTATATTAAAATTCTATTATCTCACTTTCTTTGTAATTGGATCTTACACTGTATTCCCCATAACTGGATACAAAGATAAGCCTTATTACCATGTAGCCCTCCTATAATCAGAAAACACCAATTACATGTTACTAGACTGGGAAAGAGATTGAATATATGGAAATAAAGTAGTTTTCCTATTTATCAAAGGCATAAGCTTTATCATGGGAGGTGTTTTTCCTCTGCCATTGAATACTGGTTGTCCTGATGTTCTATCTACCTGCAAGAAAAAAACACACTGTTCTATAGTTTGTTTCCCTAACCTATCACAGGATGACTCCTGCTTTGTGTTAGGCCAAATGATAAATTTAACTATTACCTGCTTCTGTGTTACGTAAAATAAATCCTGAAGAGCTGTAAATACAATTCCCAGTCATACCCATATTTCTGGAGAAAACATTCCCCAACACTGGAAAGATTATCTTACTCATAGTTATCCTAATAATGCTTCCTAGAAATGCTTCCACCTAAGAAAATGAAAAAGAAAAGTAGATATTTAGGACCTAGATGAATGTCATATTTGACTGAAATCAATAAAGTACAAGGCTGGTTCACAGCTCAGCAGTGGCCTCCATACCCAAATAATCCATGTCAAGGTGTCCCTTTGCTGTTGTTTTTTAAAGCAACCACATACTGAATTTCTACAGTGGTATCATAATAGTAGCAGCTACAGCTGACATGAAATTAACAAGTGAACATTAGGTACACAAGGTACAGAAGAAGACTGAGTGGAAAAGACCCGACCCCAACTACTAATATTGGACTTTTTTAATTTTTAAAAATCAGTGACTACCAATATCACTCTTGATAGGTGGGTGCACGGATTCCAAGGGTGCAACAGTCCAGGGATTTCTTTGTTTGGAGGCAGCAGCTTGAGTCATTTTTCTGCTGTACCGTCTGGATAAATAATTTTTTTTATATATAAAAAGATTTGATACCTTTAGAGTCTGCTACATGAAACCTAGGGCCAAATCTAAGGAAAAAAGAAGCACTTTAGAGTGAGAATGTGTATGTGAAAGGGACTGAAAGGGGCACCCATGAGCTCATTGGAGTCACCCACTGCAAAGGGACTCTAGTCCTGCAGGAAAGACTCAGGTGGTGTGTGTGCAGCTCCCAGGATGGCCTGCATGTGCTCAAGTGGCTTCTCCATTAACAACAACAATGGCATTTTTTTCTTCACAAGGGAATATAAACATTAGAGTCTTCAATCTCAAACTAAGTCCTCATGTTTTTAAATAAACTCTGAAGCACTTTTAAACCAGACTCACAGATATGAAAGACCTCAGAAGGTGAGTCCGAGTGAGGAGGTATTGAGACAGAAAATAAACTGGAGTCTCCTGAATTGAGTAACTTTGACAATTAAGCATTATCTCTCAAGTGAGAAGAGGAAAACAACTGGACTTTCTGCACTGACCTGACGGAGATTGATATAAACTGCATTCTGAAGAAACTCAGAGGCTTCCATGCTCCTTTTCTGTATTGCAAGGACTCTCACGGCCTTCACACAGGCTTCCAGTTCAATCACACCAGCATTCTTGTACTTGGAAAGAGAAATTAAAAGAATATTGAAGAATTAAGCCTGGTAGATTTGATAAGTATTTCTGCTCAATACATAAACCAGTTGTCAGAGATTCCCAAACGTAGCAATTCCTTAAACCAGTAACTAGAGTGTTAAGTTATCAACATATGCCCACGTGAAAATTAATGTGTCACCTAAAATATTACTATGCAGAACAACAGTTCTCAGCCTCTTCACTCACTTTTCTGATTTTGAGACACAGCACAGCTTCAGTCTGAGAGTTCAGATGAGGAGAAAAGTTGGGAATACTACTATCATTTTTGGATAACCTCAAATAAACAGTGGTTATGGGTGGTGTGTTCACAAAAAAGACACTTTAATTAGGCTCATAAGCAAAAATCAGTTTTGCAGTAATTCTTCACCACCTAAAACTGCTCTGTCATGATAAACAAAGAATCAATTTTACCTTTTCCACTAATTACAAAATACACTATATAGTACAGGAAGCTGCAGCAACAGCTTCTCGAGGTTGTTCAGCCTGGGGAGGAGAAGGCTCCAAGGAGACCTTACAGCACGTTCCAGTGCCTGAAGGGGCTATAGGAAAGCTGGGGAGGAGACAAGGGGGTATGAATTAAAACTGGATGAGGGGAGATTGAGGCAAGACATTAGGAAGAAATTCTTTAGTGTGAGGGTGGTGACACACTGGAACAGGTTGCCCAGGGCCCATCTGCGGAAGTGTTCAAAGCCAGGTCGGATGGGGCTTGGAGCAACCTGGTCTAGTGGGAGATGCCCCTGTCCATGCAGGGGGGTTGGAACTGGATGATCCTTAAGGTCCCTTCCAACCCAAACCATTCTGTGATTCTACAAAAAGTCAGTAGGATTACCTTGCCATAGTAAGAAATGGCTTCTTTATATTTATCTATTATGTCTTCAGGACTAAGGCAGTTCTTGGCACGTCCTATCTCAGCACTGGTGTCTGCATTTATTCCATTGGAAGTCAGTGCACCTGGAACAGAAAAGGGTAAGAAATTAGCAGAAAGACCTTTAGCAAATGCTAAATATCTAAGAAGAAAATTAGGATTTGCTGCAGGTTTGACCAACACATACACAAAGAATATTTGCCCTACCTAGAAAGAAATCATGTCCTACCTATAAAACACTGATTCTGTTTTACTATGCTATTTTAAAGAGCACAAATGAAAAACTGATTCAATCATAAATCAGCAAACAGAAAATAATCTTTCATTTTGTAAAAACCAGATATATTCACCATCTTTTACATTTATCTAAATAGTTAAGACTATGAATTAAATATTAGATTGCTATAATTGGGTTATGGCCACATCTGAATATGCAGTTTTAATCTTTGTATTATTCTTTGTTCTATTTAAAAACTCTATTTCTATAGCACACCTAAGAAAAAAAAAAGTGCCTTTTTTATAAGCTAATTATTACAACAGTGTCCTTCTCCTCCAGTCATTCAAAAGAAATACTTCTCTTCCCTATGTCTGATAATAGAAAACCAAGTGCTACACTTGGTGTTACAAAAGCCATCAAATCTGAGCCTTTCACATTAAAAAAAGAATTACCTGAAGCTCAGACAAAACAGTAAGAAATGGATTTCTTTTATATAAGAAAGGTGAGAGACAGGAAGAATCTTTACATACACAAGGGATAAGAACCTGAACAGAAGCCAAGGAAATCTGGGGTATTGCAAAGAAGACTAAAATTTTATTTCTAAAACTTAATTTTACTGCAAAGTTAACAAAATAAAATTGAAAACCTACAGCAAAGGCTTGCCAAGGTTCTATGCCTTTTTACATGTTACTTAATCCATAGGATTATACAATAATTTATTCCTCCAAGAGGTTTCTCTACGAAAATGGCAAAAAAGTCTTTGTGTTTCAAAACTGAACTAAACTCTCAACAGTTAAAAACTACTTTCAACTCTCTCTGCCTGATCAGAATTGTGTTATTTTACATGCTCAAATGCTAAAGTAACTTTTTTATGTTTATCAACCTTAAAGAATCACACCAAGCATGTCTGCAGATTAACACTTTAAGAACTTTTGGAAGTTGAGTGCAAAATTTGTGTTAGTGATGAATGAAAGAGTGCCTTGACAGAACAAGACCACATGAGAACATTCAAATCCAATTGTTTTGTCAGTTAGGAGAAAAAAATTTACATCCTCACTAGTCATCAGAAGAAACAACCTTGATTAGATTTTACAGGGATACAATCATGAAACAATTTATTTTGTGCCAGTTGCCCTCCAGTCTCTTTGCTTCCTCATGATTTAGAGCTAAAACTGGAGCATCAGGAATCAGTACTAGCTTTGGCAAGTGGCAGTAACTATCTATACAAATGCAAAACATATGCAAGTAATAAAAGAAAAGACTTTGGAAACATGCATGAAAATAATGTACCTGGATCAATGAGAACTTCTTGTGCCCCTAAAAGGAGGAACAAAAATGATTTTTTTTTCAGCCTTAAATATAGCCAAGAAAAAAAGCTCTTACAATGTTTCATAACATCAGGCTTGAACAAAATTACAAGATTTATTAGGATCATCATTGCTATTTGGAATGACTACCAATCAGAATTCAAGTAGTCACCATATATTTAATTTTGTTTTGTTAAAAAATAACTGTGAAAATTCCATAAACTTGCAATGAATTCTAAGACATATCAAGAAGAACTGAAGAATTTTCAGTGTAGAATTGAAAGCCATATCCTTTTTCTCCTTTTTCTTTATTCTTATTGGAAAGTTCCTGCCACAGTTCACTTACTATATTTTAGCATCGGGTCCTACAGTACTTAGATCTCCTGTGGGAGCTCATTTAATCTACACAACACTCCAGAATAACATTTTCAAATAATTGTATCCCTTTCAATTGCCATTCATTTCACCCCATCAAACTGAGTCATTCCAATGCAACAAGCCAGACTACCCACATTAAATAGTTGCCAAGAGTATTGCAAAGTTTGTTGACCTAAACTTTTATTAACCTGGCAATAAAATTGTTCAGATCAAACGCTGAGCAATCAAAAACAATTGCTTTATGAGCAAGACTGGATCTCCCTTTAGCTGATTTGCTCAGACTCCAGACTAGTGAAGCAGGGACTTAGAGCTAGATGAGAAAGATCCTCCAACACTTCACTCAGGTGTCCTGATTCTGCTCCAGGAAAGAAGAAGGGTCAGATGACAAAATTAAGAGCTTAGTATTTCAAACAAATAAAACACAGAGAAACTCAGAACAGTCAGTAAGCTAGGCATAAAGCAAGCTAAAGTCAGCTCATTCAACATACAAATCACTGAGCAAATAGACCATGGCCAGGTCCCCTGCCAACACGAGCTAAGCAACTCAAGACCTTCTCTTTCACTGCAGCCTCCAGAGACAAATCTGGCTGTTCCAGGGGACAAAGCCTAAAGCTCTTACCCCACAAACAAAAGGTTTTGAGAACATGAGAAGTCACACCTCTTTAAAACATCAAAGTTTCCTTTTCACAATCAGCAAGACACTGTAGTCCAAGGGCTTATGGCCAAGGAAGAAACTTGTCTTTGAAGCAGACAAGATCCCACCTCTCTTTCCATCAGACAAGTACTTTAAATAACTGTATTATCAACTAATTTTCTTCTGAATGAACTATTCCTACCAAAGGAGTTTCAAATTGGTTGAAAGATACACCAACAAAAAAACAGACTTCTGATGGTTACTGATAGTGATTAAATACATTACAATTCTGCTTAGTAGGTAAAAAAAAACACTAAAAAAACCCCACCCTTTAACCACCAACAAAAAAACAGACTTCTGATGGTTACAGATAGTGATTAAATACATTACAATTCCGCTTAGTAGGTAAAAAATAAAAACACTAAAAAAACCCCACCCTTTAATACTGCCCTCTGAAGCTTGTGCTCTGTGTTACACCAAGAGAGATGATGTAAATGCTTCTCCTTCCAAAGCTGAAGCTTGTGCTCTGTGTTACACCAAGAGACATGATGTAAATGCTTCTTCCAAATATGTTTCTATCAAGCAGACATCACAATAATTTTCGAGCAGTCAGGTCCTTTGCTGTAGCCTAAAAATGCCAAATGGTGAAAATGACAGGAGGAAAATGTTTCTCTTGACCAGGTCTGGGCACAAAAGCGGTACCAAGAAACTGTGTCCTGTGAAGGCTGAAGGACAGGGACAAGAAGAGGTGCAATTCCAGGCACAGCAGGAAGCAATAAAGGTAACTCTCACATCCACATGCTTCAGAAGTAGGCACAACTTCAGCGTCAGTTCCAAGTATGGCATTTCTTGCTTTGCAGAGGATTTGGAAATCCCTTTTGTTCCTGGCCTTACCCTACAGACAGATACACGGGAATTTCTTCCCCAGATTAAATGCCGTCCTCACAAAATTAATTGTAACAATGTAGATTACAAACTAAGGTGCAATTCGAAAAGATTTTAAATGAAAGGCACTGCAGAGTCTAAAAAAGGCATTGAAACTTTCAGAAAACCTTGTAGGAAAAAGACATCACAACAGCTGTTTATTTGGACTGAGTGCAGCAGCTCAGACCTCAAAACATTAGGAGACCATAACTAGAGTCAGGGAACAGTATCTGATGGACCATGAAGTAACATTTCCATCCATAAGAGATGACAAAAGAAACCTGTCATCAGGTTTTCTTCACACAGAAGTCCTTTGAAAAATCCTGTCGTATGAAACTAAAACATGTTTAAAACATGACCACACTAACAAGTCTGCAAACAGGACTTTGAATTATGATACAACTTACACAGAGAAGCAGCAATAATATACCCCATTTTTTATTATTATTCAATTATTCTGATAGCTGTGACTTATTTGTTACCTTCTTTAGTAACAAGGAGTACCCACTACAAACAGAATGCAACATCTGCTGTTAAATATCTGTTGAAAAGCAGACAAACGGTCAATAACTGTGTGAACTTAACTATAACAGTCAACATAAAATGCGCTCATGGGCATGGGACCAACTGCAGACTTTAATGACTAGATGTTATATGAAAAACTAGTATCTCCTGAAATAAGGCAATCTTACTATCACAATTATCTGGTGTCAACATACAAAGTTTGTAATTATAACACAAAGCAGGTATTTACTAGATTGTGACTTATAACTGAGTAAAGATGGGGGGTAATTTGAGGGTTTTTTAGATGAAGGAATGAATTCTGATCACATGCACACAAGAGTACTTACACCAGCACTTAAACACAGTTTCTGTTTGATTCAGTACTGTGTAAAAACCTGAGTACATCCATAGTGTGTCCATATATATATATTTATATACACAGATATACCAGTGCTGGGTTGGACCAAAGGCTCATCTAGCTTATAAGCACCAATACATTTCACTACCCTGGCCACCACCTGAGAGCCATAGAAACTTTCAGGAACCTTAACACTGTATGGCCAGTGCTAGGATATGTGTTCAAAAGGCTCATCTCTACAAACACACAGGAGCTCAGAGGAACAGGGACAATCAGCTGAACCCAAATAACCTGATCAGAGCCAACAGATCAGTCCAGGGGTGAAAGTTAGCTGGAAAGTAGGGAGGAAATTTTCAAAAGTTCTGTGGTGGCAAATAGAATAAAACTGAAATCCCATTCTTACCTGGCCTGTGCCTGTTGCCTGCCTCAGCAGAAAGTGAACCTCCTTGTGCCCTGCGAGATCCAACTTTACCTCCAGTACCACCTGGATAATGGTAGATGACCGAGGCTGAGCATAACCCCTCAAGAGCAGCTGTAGAGAAAAGGAAAAAGCCAATAGATTGTTATATATACTTGCAGGAAGTGAAGTATCATGTTGTAAAGTCTATTTATGTCCTTTTCACTTCTGTTTTCATTGCTAAGGTTTACCTCAGACCTTCCAGTTCTCCAAGCCTTTTAACAGAATCCGTAGGAGGAGGCACTAGCCACAGGAGGAGGTACTAGCCACAGTAAAGGCAGACACACATACAAACCACTTCAAAAATTGAACACAAACCTACAAAACCAGGTAAGATGCACCCATGGATACCAAGAGAGCTGGCCAATGTGAGACCACGCTCTTATCAGCTCCAATAGGTCATGCTAGTTGAAGAAGCATTCTAATAACTCAACAAAAGAAACATCATACCCTTCTTTAAGAAGGAAGTACCAGAGGTCTACAGGCAGATCAACCTCAGCTCTCTGGAAAGGCTCTAAGGAAATCCTTCTGGAACCCATTTCCAAGCACACGGAGGACAAGAAGGTGACTGGGAACAGCACACATTGATGTACAAAGTTTAAGTCAGTCCTCAGCAACCTCTCTGCCTCCTGTGAGATAATAAGTTCAGTGGGCAAAGGAACAACAGTGGATGTTTTGACTTGCACAAGACCTCTGGACATGGTCTCCCACACTACGCTTCCAACTTTTCACAACACAGAAGGAAAGTCACAGAATATAGTCCAATTTCCAAACTGGTTATTTCATTCCCTTAATCCTACCTCCAAGCCACAGGAAGTCATTCACAGAGCGCAGAAGTTCCACTGCCATGTGATAATGCACCAAGGAGTCTTGCAACATGCCAGCTTGTAAGCACAGGTCCCCAACGTGCTTTCGCATCCGGCCTTGACAACGCTTCTTATAGTGTCTGCAAAACAAAAGGTACCATTTACACTTATTTACAGGGAATGCTTATTTGAGGGAATAAACACCCGAGGTCAAGGGTTTTTTTCTCCTTAATAGTAGATCAATGTTAATTTACTTTGTTTCTCTGAGCAAACATTGAGTGTAGATTCTAACAAGCATAATATGCAAAAGTAAAAGAACCAACAGTTTGACAATATATTGAAAAAAAAAAAAACCAAAAAAAAAAACCAGTGCATCATGTGTTTTATGATTAGAGGGCTGGAGCAGCTCTGCCCTGGAGACAGGCTGAGAGAGTTAGGGTGTTCAGCCTAGAGAAGAGAAGGCTCCAGGGAGACCTTAGAGCACCTTCCAGTGCCTGAACGGACTACAGGAAAGCCAGGGAGGGACTTTTGACAAGGGCTTGGAGGAAGACGACAAGGGGTAATGGATCAAAAGTGGCAGAAGGGAGATTTAGGTTAGAGATTAGGAAGGAATTCTTTAGTGTGAGGGTGGTGAGACACTGGCACAGGTTGCCCAGGGAAACTGTGGATGCCCCATCCCTGGAAGTGTTGAAGGGCAGGTTGGATGGGGCTTGGAGCAACCTGGGCTGGTAGGAGGTGTCCCGCCCATGCAGGGAGGTTGGAACTAGATAACCTTTAAACTCTATTTTAAACCATTGTATGATTCTATACTGGCTACATAGCAATTACGCAGATTAAGGTACAAAGTTAAAAGCCTGCACTTCAGAGCACTTTAATACCCTTGTCACAAATTAAACAGAATCATAGAATTGTCCAGGTTGGAAAGGACCTCAAAAGATCACTTAGATCCAACCTTTTATGGCACAGGGAGCCTAGATAAGATTATCTAGCACCCTGTCCAGTTGCATCTTGAAAAGCTCCAAAGCAAGATTCTTGTAGTCCTCAGGGAGTGTCTGGCTCCCTTTCCATAGCTGGTATGCTGCTTTTTCATAGAATCATAGAATCCTAGGGGTTGGAAGGGACCTCGAGAGATCATCTAGTCCAAACCCCCCTGCCAGAGCAGGGTCACCTAGAGTACATCACACAGGAACGCACCCAGGTGGGTTTTGAATGTCTCCAGTGAAGGAGACTCCACAACCTCCCTGGGCAGCCTGTTCCAGTGCTCTGTCACTCTCACAGTAAAAAAATTTTTTCGGATATTCACCTTGAACTTCCTATGCTCCAATTTACACCCATTACCCCTTGTCCTATCACTGGTCATCACTGAGAAAAGCCTAACTCCGTCCCCCTGACACTCACCCCTTACATATTTGTAAACATTGATGAGGTCACCCCTCAGTCTCCTTTTCTCCAAGCTAAAGAGACCCAGCTCCCTCAGCCTTTCCTCATCAGGGAGATGTTCCACTCCCTTCATCATCTTTGTAGCTCTGCGCTGGACTCTTTCAAGCACTTCCCTGTCCTTCTTGAACTGAGGGGCCCAGAACTGGACACAATACTCCAGATGTGGCCTCACCAATGCAGAATAGAGGGGGAGGAGAACCTCTCTTGACCTACTAACCACACCCTTTCTAATGCACCCCAGGATGCCATTGGCCTTCTTGGCCACAAGGGCACATTGCTGGCTCATGGTCATCCTCCTGTCTACCAGGACCCCCAGGTCTCTTTCACCTACACTACTCTCCAGCAGTTCAGCCCCCAACCTGTACTGGGACATGGTGTTGTTCTTCCCCAAATGTAAAACTCTGCACTTCCCCTTGTTGAATTTCATCATGTTTCTCCCCGCCCAACTCTCCAACCTATCTAAGTCTCTCTGAATGGCAGCACAGCCTTCTGGTGTGTCAGCCACTCCTCCCAGCTTAGTGTCATCAGCAAACTTGCTGAGGGTACATTCTATACCCTCATCCAGGTCGTTGATGAAGATGTTGAACAACACCGGTCCCAGTACCGACCCCTGTGGGACTCCACTAGTCACACACCTCCAACCAGATTCTGCCCCATTGACTACAACTCTCTGACTCCTTCCTTTCAACCAGTTCCTAATCCACCTCACTTCCTGGTCACCAAACCCATACCTGATCAACTTTTCTACAAGGATGCTGTGGGAGACGGTGTCAAATGCTTTACTGAAATCAAGATAAACCACATCTACCGCTCTACCATCATCTATCCACCTAGTAATTTCCTCATAGAAGGCTATGAGGTTAGTCAAACATGATTTACCCTTGATAAAACCATGCTGACTGCTCTTGATGACGCCCATGTCCTTGATGTGCCTAGAGATAGTGACAAGAACAAGTTGTTCCATCACCTTTCCAAGGATGGAGGTGAGGCTGACCGGTCTATAGTTAACCAGGTCCTCCTTCTTGCCCTTCTTGTAGACTGGTGTGACATTTGCTATCCTCCAGTTCTCAGGCACCTCTCCTGTTACCCATGACTTACTGAAGATGATGGAGAGTGGCCTAGCAATGACCTCCGCCAGCTCCCTCAGCACCCTTAGATGCATTCCATCCGGACCCATCGATTTATGGATGTCCAGATTACTCAGCTGATCCCTAACCCAATCCTCATCTACTATGTCAAACTCCTCATCTGTCTTGACTACTTCTGGGGCTATATGAATCTGGGGCTCATGGGGAAATCCTGCAAGTCAAAGGATTCACTGCATTGAGCTACCAGCTGGTTTCTTATTCCTTGTAGTTGGTTCAAAAGAAAGGAATTGTTCATCAAGAAGATGAAAAGAAAGTAACATTTATATCGAAAGTCAGAAATTTGAAAGAGAAGCTAGAAGGAAGTACATACAATGTCTTATAAAAATTAAATAGAAAAGCAATCAGAACCACTGTTATTGTTTATAAGAAAAACTGGAAATTATAAAAGGAGAGAAGAAGCATGTCTGCTATTGCTCCTCTCCATTTAAAATGTCACTAGTAACTCCTACATAGAAACGTTCCAACTTTTATGATCTTCCACATCATATTCACAATTGATGTGAAGATAACATCAAATGAAGCTAAATACAAGATGACTGTTCTTTATCTTTCAGGCATGTAAAAAAATTGCAGTATTTCTTATCTTTTATTGTTCAATGAGCATGCTCTTCACAGATCCTTTCATAAAAACAAAGCAAGTGAAAACTAAAGCTGTTCTGCATGAATTTTTCAATCTGAGCTTTGGGTTGCAGACAAATACCACAATCAAAAGTTGCTTTGTAATCTTGAATCAGTATTGTATAGGAGATTATAAACTGTTTGCAAGTCAGATGTTAATCTCTGCATTCAAGAATGAAATTAAGATTATCAATATTATTTTAACTTTTTAACTTATTTTACACAGAACAAATGGTAGAATTGGAGAATCACTGTTTCCTTACCCAGCTATAATTCCTTTCATTGATGAAAACACTTCAAATTTCCTCTTTCTACACTTTCTAGTAGTCTTTATGTTTATGGACAAATTCCATCTTTTATTCTCTCGAAACTGTAGGTTTTAAGTGTTTTTCCCAGATTTTCCAGATTGAATAAAATTGAGTTCATAAATATGAGTCAAACAGCAAAAGAAAAGACATGGTGCCAGACTCCTAAATCCAATCCTAATATTGGAATTATTTAGAATCATAGAATCATCAAGGTTGGAAAAGACCTTCAAGATCATCAAGTCCAACCATCCAACCAAAAACCCCCAACCACTATCTTTTGAAACACCATGTCTACCCATTTTTGGAACACCTCACCAACAGCTCTTTCTTACCATTGCTTAACTTCACTGAAGACTTCTGCATGCCTCAATATATGCAAAGTTTAAATGCATTTATTCATTTAGACATCAATAAACACTGTTCTTCCAAGAACACTTCTCTTTTAGAAATCCTCCTTATTTATAAACAAACAGAATTTATATCTGATGATTAAGAAATTTACTATTAATTATTCCAAGACTGAATTCATTCCACCTACTTTTAGGCTCTTACACATGGTGCCAAGAGAGGAACTATCTCCTACAGTCCCCGCAAGCCTTCCTCAACCTCTTGGAAAACATATTCTCACTAATTATAGAGACAGTTTGACACATACAAATGTATAAACTCTGTCTTAATTTAGTGCTCACAATTAACTACAATGAAGTCAGGCTTCTTTTTTCCCTTTTTTTTTCTTTTTTGCCAATTACTGCAAGTAGATCCAGAAAAACAAAAGACAAAGACTTCATTGAAAAAGAAAATCACTCTCCAGAGACAGCAAAACTTAAATTACTTCCTATTTGGGAAGACTGTTCTGAAAAAAAAATCTATTATCTATAATACCAGGTTGTTAAAAGAATGTCTGAGTGACTGATGATTTCTCCAATGCATACTGGGGTGCAAGTTTCATTGAAAAAAAAAAAATCACACATACATATCTCAACATAACATTATTATTATTATTCTTTTTAATACCTAGCTAGTTTTGATTTGCAGCTTCGCCTGAAGGATCTGGCCACAAAGCTAAAAGTGAGAAGCTTATAGATACCTTAATTTATGTTTTTATTAAAATACTGTTTAATTATTTCAGGTCTCTACTGCTTAATCCTAATCCCTTTGATGATAGGAAGTCCACATAAATTAACTGCTACTTCTTCTAGGATAAAGTGACAATGTTTTTCTAGGTTCTCTCCGTACAATACCCTCCTGCTAAGAGTTGTTTCTGGTTTTCCTTTAGAATATCATTTAAGACATGAAGCTTCAAAGACACACCAAAAACCCCTTCCAGAAATATCCTTGAGAAAGTCAATGCCACAAAATGTAGGACCACACATGGACTGCTCCATAGAGTCAGTCATCCAAACTCCTCTTCAGAACATCCTCTCCTCCACACGTGTACATGTACAGTTGACCACAAAACTGATTTAAAATGTAATTCTCTAAAGTTACTTGTGTAAATTTGGTACCTAACAGGCTCTTGGTATTTTCTTCAGAATAAAAACCATGATCATTACCATCAGTGACCACTAGTACTACTTCAAACTGGAGGACAATAAACCTGCTCCAGGAACCAAAAAGCATTACTCAGCCCCAGTCCCATGTCTACGTTATTTGCTATACAGGACATGTGCTTTATCCCTTCATTCCCAACTCTCTTCTAGGATCCCAGAATAATTTTATGGAAAATTTGGAGCAACAATATCGTATTTCAAGACAGAATTTACTTTCACTACAAGCAACAGGTTTGAAAGAATTTCTGGATCCTCAACATTTCAAACCAAGAAACATGCAAAATGAATTTGCAAAAGTATTCATGCAAAATGCTTCAACAAAAATGTCTGTAAAATTCCACTGATTTCATTTAGCATGCAGAACTATGGATATCACCAGTCATAACATTATCCAGACTTAAAAGACACAGCTATGGCATTTGATCAACTGCTAGAACTTTTGAATTTGGAAACCAAACACAGGCAGGAACAGGTTCATGGCTTTGGAGTTTAAAAAACAAAGCAAATTCCAGAGGCCAGCAGCCACCTAAGCAAATCATGTGTGTCCTACAAAAAAAATCAGCATTGCTACCAAATATAATTGCCAAATGTGCCAACAGGGGTCAACCACAGCAGTAAGGCTCCAGGCAGCAATTATTTTTGTGTGTACTGAAAAAAAAAAAAAAATAGAAAAAAAAAGCAACACTAAAATAGGCAATGAAGGCAGAGTGGAAAGGCAGTACATGAAAGAAAGCTAACTACTTTTAAAGATACACAATCACAGCCTACCTTTTTAGACCCAACAACAAACTCACAGGGCAGTATGAGAGAAGAATTGGGGGGGGGGGGAAAGAAAGGAACAAAACAAAATTTAAAAAGCAAAAACAACAAACTCACAGGGCAGTATGAGAGAAGAATGGGGGGGGGGGGGAAAGAAAGGAACAAAACAAAAATTAGAAAGACAGAAAACAGAAATAAAATTAACAGCCACATACAGATAGAGATATAAACTTTGATAAAACAGTGAACAAATCCCATCTACTGTGTAGAGAAAGACACATCTATAAATAGAGCTCTTCTTACTCATCACTCAATAGTGTTAAATGGATGCCTTACCAGTATTAAAAAAGAAACTAAGACACAAACTGGTGTAAACAACATTAAAATGAGCTTATCCATGTAAATTTACAATAATACATTAGCATGTTTATTTTTCTTAGCTGAAAATCAAAATGAAATAAAAAAAAAAAAATAAACAAATGGGATTTCTGGCAAGTATGTTTCCTAGTTTCAGGTGTGTAGCACCTTTGCATCATCATGAGAACATGCATTTCCATCCTCTGCAATCAAATAACTATCAAGTGCAACCTATGTCAGAAACTTGTTCATTTTACCTCAGCAGCCCTGAAACCACACAAATATTTTGCCTAATTTACAGATGAAGAAACATAAGGGAAAGAAAATAAACAGATTTGCCCAGATCACTGGTTGGCTGAGCGTTCTAGGAATTAAACCAAGGTCAGACTCCCAGGCCTACAACTTCTACTTCAGCAGACAATCCTTCTTCAAAACTTATTAGAACTTAACCCACTATTTTTCATACATAAAGTTTTTTCTACCAGCCAAAAAATTTCTTCTACACAAATACAGCAGTTGTATGTATATAGTCATCTCCCTAAGAGTCCTGGGAATGTTGCCTCTTCTGCTCATTACTCAAGCAGCTTGTGAAAGACAAAGATCAGCTCCACTTTGTCAGAGAATCATCTTATTTGAGATGCAGCATAACAATTCATCTTCCTAAATTAAGAACACCTGCATATTAAAAGAAGGCAATCATGTTGCAGTTATTATGCAACTAAATTAATGCTAATCTTACTAACTAGATGAGAGAGATCAGTTCTGTACGTCTAGTCCTGATCATAAAATTAAGAATTAACCTTAATATTTTACAATAAATTGCTCTTAGAAAAGTCTTTTAGGATGCAAAAAAAAAAGTTAAGTAGTTTTAACTATTCTTCCAATCATCTGATTATAAATACTATGTCCCACATAATTTTTTAATATGTTTTCACTCTTAATATATTAACCCAGTCCATTAGCTCTAGGTTACAGCTACATTCTATATTTAATGGGACTTTTGCTACACACTGAAATTTCACTTCAATTTTAGAAATCACAGAGAAAGAAATGCTCATATAGCCTAAGTACACATTTGCAACTACAGCAGCAAAGACATGTTGTAAGCATAAAGTGTGCCTTTTCTGCTATTTAATATAGAGTATTTGTGTTTTTTTAACCAGCTGTTTGCACAGACTGGGAGGCCAATACACATGATACACATTTTTAAAGGGATGGAGGGTATATAATGAAAGATTAAGGCGAACTGCTTTCCCTTTAGAAATTTCCACCTATACTAGAAAGTTATTTCATTTCCCTGAATATCTCAGTATCATCTTTTTCTAAATTTAAACTCATCATGCTGACAGACTCAAAAGCAGCAAAGGTTATTCTACCAGAGGTTCTAATATGCACTCTGTGCATTCAGACAACCTTTACCCCTCCCTGAGCAGAGGTCTACAACATTGCATCTTGTAAAAACAGGAACTGAACTCCATGGAAGATCCTTGCTAGGACATTAATGCAATGTTTTCTCCTTAATTAGGGAATCCAGCAGTGCAGAAGAGAACATGCTGCAATTAAAATCTTGTGTTGAAACCCATGTAAAAAAAAATACAGTCTATTGTCATTTCATTTCTGAAGACTTGGGCTTGAAAGCATGTGTTAGTTTACTAAACTGATCTTCGTTCAGCCACACTTCATGAATTTCTGCTACCCAGAACACAGAACCAGGATGCATCTTGCTACAGCAAAGGTGCCTAGAAAGGTCCCTGTGCAGAGCAGCTCAGGTACTCTGTGCACAGTTATTTCTAACTCAATCAAGGACAACTCCTTTTCTGACCTTTAGGTGAGATGGTATAAAAAGTCCAGGCATTTAGAGTATTTCCTCAGGCACGGAGAACACTAAACTGAACATAAAGATCTTTTAATTCAGCCCGCTTATGCTATTCTCATACAAACCCTAAGTTTTAAAACAATCGGACATACTAACTCCACAGCAAAAAGTTGAAACACTTTCTTACTATTGAACTGACAGAGGCAAGATTAGAATATTTAGCAGCCTTTCTCTGAGCAGTTAAATGCAGCAAACATTTAAACTATACCCACCGATCTAGACTTACTGAAAAATTATTTGGTATTCAAACCACACAGGCAGGTTGTATGCATGTCTGAACCAGTGATTAACTTTGTATTAAACCCACATTATTTACAGAACCAGGGTCACACACCTGCCACTTTGCAAAAATGTCAAGCATCACGCTAAATCTGTTTCAATCTTCAGTGTAACAGCATTAAATACCTCCTGGGATATGTGTGGACAAACATACTGCCTGTTATTTGACCTCCCCACCGGTTCAGAATTTGACAGGAAATACTTAGCCACTATCTGCAACACAGCCACTGCTCATGAATAAGTAATTTATGTCAGGAACTGACTTCTGAAGTACAACTTGGAAGCATGCTGTTTAGATGACAGAATTGAACAGTATGATACACTCTGAATTTGAGATTCTTGGCCAAAACTTGTCCTTTTTTCAGCTAACTGTCACAGGAAGCCTCAGTGATTGTGCTTAACCAAAATGTATCCAAACTGAGTAATTAAAGCCAAGATTCTAGAAACGCTCAACCAGTCTACAAAACTGCAGCACCTATGCAGAGCACAAAATCAGCAACATAATAATTTATAGAGATCATGAAAGTTGAAGGGTGCAGGGACTAACCAGAATATGGAAAGAGTAGCTTGGCTAGGGAACAACGTGTGTTAAGAAAGTCAGAACATAATCAGCTGCTCAACAGCAAAGAGCACCAGGAGCAGGGGAGAAAGGTACTGTTGGTCCTTTATGTAACCAGTAATAATTGAATTGAGGTCTTCAAACTAATTACAAGCTTTGAATACTTTTTCCAATACAGCACATTCTTATATAGAGATTCTAAGGCTAGGACTAATTAGCTGATAAACATGAGCAGAAGGCTTCACAAACCTGCCCTGGACAGCTCTGAATAATCCTGTCTAGACACCTCTGAGCTTTCATACACATGAACCACTGCTGACATTCCTAAGAGTGCAAGACAGATGTGAAAGATACTATTCCTGTTCGTATCATGTATTTTGGCCAGGCTTACAGAACTCTGTCTTTTCCAAAACAAAAGGAAGAGTGTTGCTTCCATCCTTTGGATTTGACTGCAAACAGCAGAATCAAACAGATTTTGCACCTGCCTGCAGCCAGTCTGACAGCTGAGAATGCACATGATTAGAAAAGATTTGGGGGGAGAAAAAAAAAACAAACAACCCAAAAGTGTAACTTACACAAAAACAAAGAGGACAGTTGTGAGAAGAATGGCAGCAAAACAAGACAGGTCAAAAAAATAAAATAATTACATAAGGAGAAAAGACAGGCAAAGATGCTGGACTTAAGTTGCCCAAATAAATGCTTAACTGTTTCATAGGGTGAAAAAGTATATAGAGGCTTAGGGGAAAAAAAACACAGTGAGTATGATTAGTCAAGCATTACTCAACAGAATATAAAATTATTTTTCACTGATGTTAGTCTGAATTTCTTCATTAATACTGTGTATCTACAAAACATTTGAAGCTTTCCAGCAAGAAGTCTTTTCCTAACTTCTCCTGTGAATCCTTCCTGCTATTTGATTAGCCTTATAAATCAATTATACATAAACTCAAAACATCAAATATTCTAAGATTAGAAATGAAGTTAGCTTAAAATACAGCAGACATGCACAATAAGACAGGGGCATGATCTTTGCTGTACCAAAGTACACTTTGTCCTTTCTAATAGGCTTCTCTAATGGCTAGTAATTGCCATGTATGTTTTTGCCAGACCTGGGAACTGACAAAAATAGCTGCTTACCTACTGTCAGTGTCCAGACCTACAAAATCCTTCTTCTCGAAAGGAACACAGAGGAGTGGGATCTTGTCTCCAGACTTATCAGTGGCTCTGTCAAGCCTCTTTGACTCCAACACTATGAAGAGAGACTCGATAAAATCTTCTATTCTCTTCTCCACAGTTTCACATTCATCATAACTGGGATAAAAGGCCACATCTGTGCGGGGCTGCTCAGCAATCTCCCCTTGAAGCCCAAAAACAAACAACCGGGAATCGTAGAGAGTGGAACCATACACCTCCTTCTGAAGATGGAATTTTTCAAAAGTCTGAGGCCACTCCTTGGCAGAAGGACAGTCTGTAATAGTTATCAGCCCCACAACTTTCCGGTGTGTCTGAAAATCCCCCCACTCGTTGTTCTCTGGGGGGTAGTGGTGCCTGTAGCGGATGTACAACACGCGCTGGGAGTCGCGGACGTTAACCTGGCTCACTGCTGAAATCCTCTTGTAGATCCTGAAAAAGCTCTCCTCAGGTACAATGCCAATGGGCTGAACCACAACCAGGAGGGTCTGATGGTCCTCGGCACACTGCATGTAGTCAGGAACACTCATTTTGCACCGACTGCAGGCTAGCAAAAGAAAAACATGTCACTGTTCAACACTCAAGAGGTACGTGGGGTTGCTGAATCAAACCAGGACTTAGATGCTAAACTCTTCTGCACCCTGCACGTGCTACAATACTGACACCTTCACGGCTTCACCAAATCTTCCATCAGGCAGCCTTACTCACAGCTACACAGTTCACAAGGAGAGTCTTTAATCAAACACCAGGCAACGCAAATTCGGTTTCTTCCCCAATGGAACCCGTTTCCCATTCGCTACACAAGGGCAGCAGAGAATCTCCCCCTGCCAGGGCCGCGGAGCACCTGCTGGCCAAGGAACCCCCTCAGAAGAGACGTCCTTGGAGACCCTCCAGCCTGTCTCCAGAGCACACCTTGGGGAAACATGGAAAGGTGTGAGGTCGGAGGGAGGCACACCCGGCACGAAATGGGAACGCCCGACCCGGTCAGGGCTCACACACGGCCAGGCAGAGAAAAAAGGGAAGTCATTCTTTTTCTCCAAAACACACGCTGGTTCGTCAGAAGGACCAAGCAACGTTTTCTTAGTTTTATATTTTAAAAAAATCATCCTTCCTTCCCGCCTGAGCTACCTCAAAGGGATCACGGTACTGCAGCTGTTGGAAGGTGAACACAGTTAAGCTCTGGCATCTCCTCCTGAAACCTCCCGGGCCACACGGATCTCTGGGTGGATTTCAGCTCCACAGCACCCTCTGAAACACACACACACACACACACCCTACCAAAACCGAGCAGAGAAGAACCAAACCCAAGCCAAGGACGGCAGAGCAGCTTTAGACACCAGGAGGAGGAGGAAGGAGGAGCCCTGGGGAGCCCGAGGGGCTGCTCACAGCTCCTGACAGGAAACAAGAGAACCCTGTGCCCTCAAACCTGCTCCTCAGCGCCACGGAGCACCGAGGGTCCCGCTTCCCACCGCGAAGATTTCGGAGGGGAGAGAAGGAAATCACCGCGAACACCAGAGCCCAGAGGCCGGAGCGGGCGGCAGGGACGGGCGCCCTGAAACCTTGGTCAGGAAAAAATAAAGGGGGGAGAGCCCAGGGGAAGGAACCGCGGGGGCAGGAGGGGCTGGGGAAGGGCCGGTGGG